ACTGAGCAGAAACAACAATTGTGCGAAATTCATCGTAAGCTCATTTTAAAAAAGTCTATAAGAATGGAAGGGTGGAATTGCTGTTCAAACTGCATCAGCAAGCAAAAATGCTTCTTCGAAACGTTGGCGGCTAGTGCCCATCCCTTGTCGGATAAAATTTATTTCGAGATTTGTTGAATTCAAGCAATTTTGCCAAACATTTACAAAGAAAAGTGATCAAAACAAGATGACTCTCATAGATGTGAACAAACTAAGCAATACTGCTTTGACAAACCTGCAGTGTAATACAATTGGTCCTGAATCAGGCAGACCACTTTGTCTTTCAAGTACTCGACCAACAAGCGAAAGTAGTGGCTCTGATGAGGTTGGCACAACGCAGGATGACGGCCATGCTGTGAACGCGAATTGGACTACACTACGAGCAACGTTGTCCTCCTTGAAAGTTAGTAACATTTTTGATTACTATAAATGTAATGAGAAGCTACTACCTTCATACGGTAGCTTAGTTTTCTAGTGATAAAATATGGAAAATGCTCCTCGCCATTTAGCTGTACAGTCACGTGATACGGAGCACGCTGATAAACAGCTGTTTCGTGAAGCTCACTTGGCCAATACTGTAAAAAAAAAGAAATGCAACATACACAGTAACTATCCAGAAGGTATGCTCTGAAAAGGAACTAACTTTTTCGGAAGGGCTCCAGTCTTCCTCGTTAGAAAGCATAACTAATGTCGTTACATTCAATTCCGAGATCATACGCCAGAAATCAAACACGGTATTTTCACTAACAGGATCTTGTGCGAGGACGTATGGATAGAAATAGCCCTGAAAGTGAATCTTATGAAATGTCAGACAAAAAGGAAAAGGCCTCTTACCTTAAGAGAGCTAGCATTGATGTAAGTGGTGTCGGCGTAACCGATTGATGCTCGCAGTACTATACGATTACGATCGTATGGTACAGCCGAATCAAAACGATTTTTCATAACATTGTCTTCTTTGGCTGCAAACGAGCATTTCGCGGGTGTTTCCAGAGTCCTTTCGAGCCTCTAAAATT